CCAGCAGCCACACATTTCCCAGATTACAGGTTTTGGGAGGGTCACTCTCCCATATTATGGATAAACATAGTGGTATTTGAGACTAAAACAAGAGTTTCTGTGGGACCACTGCCACATGGAATAGTTGCCTATAGTGCATCCCTGCCCTAAATTCAGTTTGAGCCTTGAAACTCAGTTTGAACTCCTCCCATTTCCCATCCCTTCTCTACCCCAGAAAACATTTTATCCACAGAACAGGGCACCCTTCCTTCTCCTGGAAAGAGATCTCCAAGTTTGGTTTACTGCAAAGGGCTATCTCCCTCAAGTGTCACCATGATGTTGTGTGACATTTTAAAAAGTGTTCTTAAAATGATTTACAGTTATTTTAAATTGATTAAAATCGGTTCCATGCTATGACTGAAGAGTTTGAATTCATTGCAGTACACAAGCAACCCCACTGCTCCTGCCCATGAATGAGAGCTGCACAGTGGATCTGAAGATTACCAGAAAATTAGCAATGCACATTTTCAAAAGCTTGACAGCAGGGGAGATGCTAAAGAGGTGTTAGCTGATGTATCTGTTTATATTATTTATTAATGGAATAATTTATTATGCACCCATCGCTGCACAGGTCATGCATGTAGATTCCAAACACAATACCAACGACTGCAAAACTAGACCACCCTCATAACACAAATCCTCTGCCAGTCAGCAGAATCCGCTTCCCCAGCTGGCAGCATATCCCTTAGCGATCCATCCCCCAGCTAGCTAAAACACCAGTGGAGGTTGATGACATCTGAAAGAGCAGAGACAAAACTACCATCTCAAAGTGTGCTTGCAGATGATTTACAGCAGCAGGCAATAATTATAGTGTCTGCACCACAAAGGAACAAAGGCAAACTTCTTACTTTCCCCTGCCAAGCAGCCTCCACTGTAAAATGACAGGCTGAACAGATGTATCCCACACTGGATTCTAGGGAAGGCCAGGAGATGGAGAATCCTTCAACATATTGGTATTCACAGCTCTACAACAGGCCCCAGAGAGCAGGATGATTATTGCCCTAAATGGAATCCTGACTAAGATCCTATATACTCTCTGTGGAAAACAGACCAACTCAGCTTTTCTTTCTAGTGGGCTCTACTGAAATTGAGTTAGTTTCGGTCCCATAGTTACATATTAGTGAGAGGCTAAGCTGGCTCTGCATCTGACAAGCTGATTCTTAACAGGCAGGGTTAGGTAAGGAAGGGCTGTGTGAAGCAGTAAAATTGACAAGATGGGCAGAGTTGCTGAGCTAGGTTGGGAGAACTTGCAAATGAGTTTTCGTGCTCATGTACATCCTTCCCTTTTCTCTTCCACTCACAGGGCCTATCAGGCTTACTGCAGCCCTAGACTTGTAGGGACAACTGCAGCATTGAGAGAAAAGTCAGGATCAGGTCTTTGATATGGCTTAGCAATTCAAACATACTTAATACATTTGAGGGATGTTGGGGATCCAAATTGTGTGTATGTTTCTCTCCATAACGCCTGATTGCCCTTGAAGGTAAATCTTCAAAATGAGTTGTTCTGTCACAGGGCATGTGACCTCTTTCAGGTCCTCTACAGAGGCCCAACCATTATTCCTCCGTAGAGTCCAGGAGGAACTTCACATGTGCAGTAACTCACAGATGTCCTCCTCAAGGGAGTTGTGATTGTGTGTTTGGGGCTGCCTAGCAGCTACAGCTGCGATTTGCAAAGGTGCCTTTGAACACCTCCACCTACATGGAGGAATCTACAGAGACTTTCTTATGAGGAATTTCACTTCGTCATATCTGGCGATGCCATGAGAACAGTCTTGCTGATACTACTGTATGGTGGCAGGTCCTGTCCCAGCTGGAAATAAAAAGCTGGGTAAGCTTCCTGGAACATTTCAAAATTTCAATAATGAGTTCAGGTTTAACACTAAAATTAGGCTGAAGTCTGGGGCGAGGAATTCTTACTTCATATGTTAAGGCCAAGATTTGCATTTTTGGCTAGAGGTTTTGAGTGCCTCTGTTATGAGACCCCGTGAAGAAGGCCTGGTTTGCAGAAAGCACTAGGCACCCACCCTCAGAATATCAGTTCCCTTTAGGGTTTCCCCAATTGGCCACCCAAAAATTGAGCACCCCAAATCATAGTTACTTGGGGAGATTTAGGCCAAACTTTATTTGCCTATCCCCACTTCAGAGAACAGCCACCTAAGTCTCTGCGCACCCCGACTTGTGTAGGAGTTTAACAGTTCCTTAGGAATGCTGTGAACCACATATGAAATCCAAATTTAATTCAGCCATTAGGAGGCATAAAATTGGTATATGTGAATTACACTGAAACTCAACTCACTTTTCTGAAAAGCAGGCCAGAAACTAACCTGACTGCTAAAGGGATACTGCCAAGAAGAAAATTAAATTTTTGCCAGAAAATTGTGTGCCAGCTATAGTTACAAGAGTACTAGAACTAAAATCAGCCCTCTGTTTCATTTGCACATTTGTTAGCACTTTATATATAGTCAGTGTCACTCTTTCCCTATATAGATCTGTACAGGCAGTGCCTTGGAGCCCCATTGACTGTGTGTGAGTGAAGGGGTCCCCAGCACAGAACCAATTGCCTGATCAGAGCCCAAGCTTGTTTGCCTGTTGCACAGAAGACACAAACATCAACAGAACAGAAAACACCTTCCAGCACATCGTTTTTAATGTGCTAGATGAGTTGCTGCATTTTTTCTATATATGTATACTTTTTTCGAAAATTTAATTGGTAGCTTCCCTTTTAAGTATTTAAGAAAGTAAATATTTTTTTCAGTTTAGGTATAAAGTAAAGGTATGTGATTAGCAATCTACAGGTTAAAATCATTTGAGAGGTTTAATGGGCCATAGAAAGAACAACAAACCATTAAAGAGATGAATTGCCTGAATTATGGTCCTCTGATATCAGATGTTCTGCAATAGTGATATTGTCTGAATACCAAGTTGGTTGTATACTGTAAGCAAAGGCATGTGTCATACAAGTTTAATTAAACTGAATAGTTTTTAGCTGTAAAATTAACATTATTCTCTCCCAATAATACTCTGAATTTTCTGGCTGCTTTTCTATATTATGGTAGAGCTACAGATTCCACAACCCAAAACACATGCCAGTGATTTATCAAGTGATTAAACTACACTTTAAATATAATACTCTTTTCCCTAGGAACTAAAAAGAGAAAAGTTTTACAACCTTGGATATGGCCCAATTAATCAGCACTGTATTGATTTTCCAATAATATCCTAAATTAAGATTTATTTTCTTGTTTTGCATGAGACTCCTAAATTGTTTCATTTATAAAATGGGCTATGTTTGCCTCTTTCAGGAAAGCTTATTAAGTTACTAATTACCTTACTTTATTGGAAGATTATTTTGCTCATATTAAGTTAAGAAAAAATATGTATCTTCGCTTTCCACCCTTACTCAGTTTAATGTGGCTAATTTCTACATGATAAATTGCACATTTTGAGTGAATTCTGCATGCATGACTGGGATTTTTTGCTTTGCATCTGGGCCTCTTCTTTGGGGTGTGGCTGCATTTGTGAAAGATACCAGAGTCTTCAGCCTGAATGTCAGAGGTCATGCAAACTTAGGTCTCAATTCAGAAAAGTGAGGTCTCAATTCAGAATTGCTATTCTCAATACAGCCCAAGCACATGCTTAACTTTAAGCATATGCTGAAGTCCTAAGTGAATGTGACTTAAACAGGTGGTTAAAGTTAAGCATGTGCTTAAGTGCACTTCTGACTAGCAATAGATTTAAACATGTATTTGAGCCCAATTAGGATCCAACATTGGGAAAACTGTGGGATTCGTAGTTTTTTGGGGGGCTGCGTAGTTAAGCCTAAATGGTTGGCACTCCATAACATCAACAACCATCCTGGATATCCCAGAAAGCTGACTCCAAAGCCTGGGTAAGTAGGGAAAGAGAGAGGAAACTTAACATCACAGTGAAAATAGATTCAATTGGCAACTGGATTAAACAGGGCAACTGGATTTTAGGGGCTTCCTCTCTCCCTTCAAGGACTAGTGATGATATGATTTTGCAAGTGCCATTTTCCAAACAGAAATCACATTTGATCTGAAGAGGTGGTCATGCTTATTTGTATATAGTGCCTTTCATCCTGAAGGATCCCAAAGCTCTGGGAAGCGAGAACTGTGTTCTGGTTTATCTTGCATGGGAATGAAATGGGGAAAGATGGCATAGGGAAGTCTTTCCTTCTTATATTAGGGGATAGTCGTGTTAGTCTGTATCCACAAAAACAACAAGGAGTCCAGTGGCACCTTAAAGACTAACAGAATTATTTCGGCATAAGCTTTCGTGGGTAAAAAAACCTCACTTCTTCAGATGCAAGTAAGAAGTGAGTTTTTTTACCCACGAAAGCTTATGCCCAAATAAATCTGTTAGTCTTTAAGGTGCCACCGGAATCCTTGTTGTTTTTCCTTCTTATGTAGCTACACAAAGGGCAAATAGGCTCATGAGTTGAGATTTTTAAAGTCCACTAAGGGATCTAGCAACACAAACTCCTATAGGTGAATCACTGAATCAGCTTTGAGAGTCTCAACTTTGGTGTTGCTTCTCCCTGTGGCAATTGCTGCTTCTCGACATGCAGGGAGGCATTGTGTGTGTCTCTGCTCTCCAAAGCAGGGCTGGGGTGGGTCCAAGTAATCAAGAATAAGAGCCACTGAGATAAGTCAGGTGGGTTACCCAGGTTGTTAGCCTAGTGAATGTATTTTGTACTTTCCTGATAACACACCCAGCCCTAGTCCTTTGGAGATTGATGGAATAACTTATCCGAACTGGGCTCAACTGCTGTGTAAATTGTACTGCTGCAAACAAATGATGACGAGAGAGTGTGTGTGTGTGTTATGTGTGTTTGATTTTTAGTTGCATTCATGGCAGCAGGCACCAGGAAATGGAAGCAAAGGGAAATATATACATGAAGAGAAGCATTTACATTTGATCTTTTTGTTTTGTTTTCTCAGGAAAATAAAGGAAAGTTTAGAGTGCTTCCCTGTCAAACTCAATAACCTGATCCATACGCTCGCACAAATGTTAGCCACAGGCTTTGCCAAGTCTACAGCTTCACAGAGTGTTCCTCGGGAATCCAACATGCTGGATGCAGAGAGGTCAATTGCCCGAGCAACCATTTTAGGGTTCAGCAAAAAGCCTGACTCTGTATGTATTTTGCTCTCCGCTTGCCCTCCTTTCGCTTGATCTTTAACTACTCTTCCTTTAGCTTACATGCTCTCCTGCCTCGGTTATATAAAATGTGCTTATGCCACAATGAAAGGATCACGGAATGAGCAGCGGTGCCATAAGCAATGAGATTCTGGAGGGAAATAAAACCAGGCAGAGAGCTATTAGTGGGGAGCCATTAAGGAGAACGGTCCCTGCCCTATAGTGAAAAATAAATCAAGAGCTAATTATAACACCCATAAGGAAAGCACAGTACAAAATTAGGAAGCCTGATAGAAACTGCTGTATGCTGCTTGAATGGAGCATTATTAGTTTTCTCACTCAGTGGTGATATTTCAGTGTTTGAACTGCATCCCATCCAGACAAGATCCTTTTTATACAGCTACGCCTATAAATTACAAATTGCATTATCAGGCACTTTGGAGCTACATTACAGAAAGGTTTTTCTTTGTTGAAATTTTCGTGTAGTTCTGCATGTGCCTTTTTGGCATCAGCCTCTCTAATCATTTCTGTTTTTTCCCCAATGCAGCTATATTTAGTCCAGGTGGTGCAAACCTGCCAGGTGGTCACCTTTGTGGAAAAATCATTCGAACAATTTTCAAAACTTCACAGCCATCTACAGAAGCAATTTCCATCACATACCCTCCCGGAGTAAGACAGCACATTAGTCTTCATTATTCTCCTGTTAAATGGTTCTCGCTATGTACAAGCAAAAATGTGAAGAATATGTGGTTGTTATATTTGCTAGCAACACAAATTCTGCCTAGAAGGCACTCGAAGCTTTCACGTCTGTCATAGAATCTAGGGAAAATTGATCATAGTCTGTTGTGGCAGCCTAACTTTGCTATATTCTAGTTATCCACAGCCACATGTGATGTATACTTTTTTCACCCATTACACCTCTACCCCGATATAACGCTGTCCTCGGGAGCCAAAAAATCTTACCGCGTTATAGGTGAAACTGCGTTATATTGAACTTGCTTTGATCCACCGGAGTGCGCAGCCCCGCCCCCCGGGAGCGCTGCTTTACCGCGTTATATCCGAATTCGTGTTATATCGGGTCGCGTTATATCGGGGTAGAGGTGTATTTTCAAGGCAGATTTATTTCTGGAAGTGGGATGATTTAGCAACAAATGGCTGTTTTTTTCTTTTTGGAGAATACGTGTGCATGGGGGAGTAGAGGAGGGGTTAGGGCCTGATCTTTTTTTTTTTTTCTTAAGTGAAGGATAGAACTGTCATTGACTTCACTGGGGGCATGATTGGGCCTTAAATCAGCTTTCTTTACATCAGCTACTGTGCAAAACTGTTAGCAAAAATACTCTATTATAGCAACACAGGTGTTTACATGCTGGGTCAGATCAAGATCAGTCTAATCCAGTATCCTGTTCCTGACAGTGGCCAGTTGTGTAACAACCCTGAAGCAGATAGCTGAGGGATTATCTCCCTCCTCACCCCCCACATTAGGTCTCCTCCTAGCCTCTAACAGAGAATGCCTTGAGCCCTGAAGCATGAAGTTCAACATCTCTTCCAAAAATTGTATTATGATAATTCTGGGTATTCTTAATATCTATATACATGTCCAATCTTGTTTGTAATCTCACTAAATTCTTGCCCTCAATGACTTCCTGTTGCCAATGAATTCCACAGATTAATTATGTGCTGTGTGGAAAAGTGTGTCCTTTACCATGGCCATGGATTCTGGACATGTCAGTAACATCACATATATCATTACTCACCAATATTGACACCTCTGAAAGCAAAGCAGTCATTCCTTTATCAGTCATGCTAACCCATCCAATGGAATTCCCTTCTCTCTTCAATGTCAGCTGAAGGAAAAGCAAATACTTGACCACACAAATGAGTAGTTTATTTGATCCTAAATACTGGCAAACTCAGACTCAGATGGGCTTGAAAAATACAAAAGTCTCTGGTGTTTGAACTGAAGTAAATGGGCCAAAGTCATCATGGTTTTGACTGGGGATGGGCAACAACCACAAATTTTATATCCAAATTCTGTCTTCCCCAAAAATGTGAAACAGGTTAATTCTAGAGAAAGGTGAAGGAAAGATTCAGATCCCTTAGTTTCTCATTGCTCAGATCTGGAGTTTTGATTGGCAGATTATAATTTGAAGGCTAGTTGCAATATTCTAATTGGGATCTGAATATCTCCAAAGTTCGAGGGTGTTTGAATCAGGGTTTCCATTTGACCCCATTCATAGGTCTAACTATTGAATTATAAAATAAAATTGCAAAAAGCAGCTATTTCTATCAGTGTTCTTCATGAGCACAGACATTTGAAAGGGGGAAAAGGAGTTTTTAAAATTATATAAATCTATCCAAATCTGTAATGTGACTTTTTATTATTCATGTAAAACATTTTTAAAATATAATTTAAAAAGTACTTGCAAGGCTTTTAAATTACCAGGATGTGTTTTCCAGATACCTCAAAAAGTCAATACCTCATTCTAAACCTTTTTAAGAGCTTCATAACTTTGCTATCAAAATTCAGTCCCAGCAATAACTTGTCACCACATGGTCTTGTCCCGAGAGTGAATTCTCTTGACAATTTTTCTTTAAAATGTTCTTTTAAGTTAAACAGCATTTTTAAAAACTGATGTTTTCCAGTTTGAGGATCTTTGTGTATTCCAGCTTTGATTTTAATAAATAAAAAGACAAATTATTTCCTTACTATGGTCTTATCATTGGAAGTGTTATACCAGATCAGAACATTAGTCTGTCTATGTGGTGCACACCTCCAGCACTGGCCAGTGCCATATGTTTCAGAGGAAGGAAAACGGCCTGTTCCATAATGTACCTACAATATCAGTTTGAAGCTGTATGGTTAAAAAACAAAATGACTGATTTTTAACTTTGAAAAGAATTTTCCCATGAATATTGTTACGAACACTAAAAATGGTATAGGTCCAGATTTCCGAGATGATGATTAATAGATTGTATGGAAGAAAAAATACAGCCTAGGCCTGATTTTCAGATGCGCTGAGTACTTGCTACACCAGTGAATAATGAATGATGATTAACGGGAGGTGAGTTCTCAGCATCTCTGAAAATCATTCCTTTAGTGTTTAAACATGTTCTGCAACCCATATTTGTAAGTCAGACCACAGCACTTCCAAAGAAGCACTTATATTCTGTCACTTTATCTACAGAGGATTTTAATTTTTTTTTAACAAGGATGACAAAAAAGGCAGTTTGCACACAAAACCACATATTTTATAAAACAAAGATGTCACTTAACCACAAAGTTTGGAAGCAGATCTGAATTTCCACGAAGTTCCAGGGTGTTCAGATCTGCAGTTTTTGTTTATTTGCCTATTAGAAAGTTGGAGGTCAGCTCCAAAATTCAGATACAAATTTTCGTCAACCTCAAGTGGATTCAGAGCTGGGATTTTAGTTTCAGCTCTACACACAATTCAACAAAAGCAAGGTATTTTAAAGAAAGACTGAACACCAAGGAGGTCACAAGGCTACCCCCCTATGCTTTACTTGAGGTTTGAAAACCATGACCATTAATTCTTGCCTTGCCTCCTCCCTCGGCCATTCAGTTAAAGTCAATGAGAGTTACAGCTGCATTCCTGAGGCCTCAATGTGGCCTCTGGGTTTTGGAGGATAGGGTATTGGACTGGATGTCAGGAAACATGGTTTCTGTTCTTATCTATGCTGTTGATATGCTGTGTGACCTTGGGCAAGTCACTTTACCTCCCACTCTTCGTCCATCTTGTCTATTACAATGCCTCGCACAGTAGAGTCTTGATCTTGGTTGGGACCTCTACATGCTACTATAATACAAATAATTATAACCAAAGTGGTGGAAGTACATTATTTTGCCACTGTCTCTTTAGTTCTTCACCTACTAACAGCAGACAGATCGCTTACTTGAATTTTGTGCAGAAGTGTTTTATGAGGCAGAAATTGCTTCAGGATGTTTCATATCATTAAGAACTATCCTGAAATCAAATCAATGATTTTTTTCATTTTTCCCCTTCCTCAAATGTATATGTTCAAGGGAGAACTTTACTTAAGCAAATAAAAATGTAGGCTGTGATAATTGGATATATGGACTGTAAACTAGATGCTTGCAGGAAGTGAGAAAAAGCTCCTTACCAGGCACATTTTAAACTAGGCTGGACAAAGCACTTAAGAAGATTGTGAGATCTATCCATCAATAAGCTTCCATCTGTAAAGTCTCTCAGTCTTTGAAAAAGTGTTTTACTGCTGGTTGCAATATCTACAATAGGCTTTCAATATCAACTTAATCAATGTATCCTTCATGTAATGACCCTCTGTAGCAAACAAACCTTTTGAAAAATCTAGCAGTCGTTACATAGAGATGTAATTAGGTTTAACTTACTTAAGTCATTCAGTTTTTCACTAGATGAGAATGTCATTTGCCTGCATAGACTTTTACAACCAGCTGATCTGCAGAGCTAGCCAGTGTTTCTCTGTACAGCTGCAAACTACAACTCAATGTGTTGTAATCTGGCTGGCCTTTTAAAAGCTGGTGGCAGCTTTTCGTTGAGCTCTGGAATTGGGTACAGCCTGTTCAAAGTAAGGATCTGACCAGCAGGCTCTCAAAAGTCTGTCCAAGTGTCATTTCACTGTGTTGGACTGCTGGCTGGCTCGCTACTCATCTGAAGCTTTCAGGTGTCTCCTGAGAGGATAAACAGGGTTATGCTGGAAAAAGGAGAATGTAAATGAGTCATTTTTAAATGCCTGGAGTGGTGATGAGAAATTTAATACAATCAAATTGAAACGTCCACTGTTGTAAATCATGGAGACGAGAGGATACAAAGCATAATATTAGTTTAACAATCTCATCTTAATATTAGTAATCCATATCTCAAAACCTTCACATGCAATTTAGACCAGATAGCTCTTCTGAGATGCACAAGACACTCCCTCATCTTGAGAGAGAAATAGTCCTTCCAGTTCAAGGTTAATGTAATCCAATAAGGTGCACTATTAGAAAGCTAACCTTCTGGCTGATCGAGCCATGCTTTGCCTGTAAAGAAGGGAGAGGAATGTAATGATTTAAATGTAGCTTTTATAACACACTTAAGTAGGGTGACCAGCTGTCCCGATTTTATAGGGACAGTCCTGATATTTGGGGCTTTTTTTTTAATATGGGCTCCTATTACCCCCCATCCCCTGTCCTGATTTTTCACACTTGCTATCTGGTCACCCTACACTTAAGTGAAAAAAATATTTAAAATATTAGGTATGTTCAATAGCTATAAAATTTAAAGTTCGTACAGGATCATGACGTAGAAAATTACTAGATTGTTTTTTAATTATTAAACCAAAGTAAAATTAATATTAATAAAATCCAATCAAAGAGCATTATTATCTATTGTGTTTTCATATACTACTTGTTTTATGGTAACACCTACAGGCCACAGTGGGGATCAGGGACCCATTGTGATAGGCCCTGTACAAACACCTAATATGAGACAAGACCTTTTCTGAAGAGCTTACAATCTAAATAGACAGAAGAGATGGGGGTTGGAGACAAGGGAGGAAGCAAAGCTACTGATGAGAGGCTGCAAGATTTCATTAATACTTTTTTGTCATTCATTATTATTATTAGAAACCGTAGTATTTTATTACAGTAGGCCTAGAGCCATCAGCTGACATCAGTGCTAGGCACTGTACAGTCACAAAGACAGTCCTTTCCCTGAAGCACTTAGAGCCAGACTTTTAAAGGTATATAAGCATCTAAAGATGCAGATAGGTGCCTATTAGGTGCCCTAAATACCTTTAAAAATCTGGCCGTTTCAATGAAATCAACAGACAAAGGACGGGATGGGAAAGAGAGACACAAAGCTGAAGCATCTTGCTGAAGGTCACACAAGAAGTCATTATCAGAACCTCGGTCTCCGGAGTCCAACTCTAGTGCCCCACCCTCTAGACCACAGTCCCTCTCCTTAAATAAAAATAATAATTAAAACAAAATCTTAAAGATGTCCTGCTGTTCTTATGTAGCATAGAGTAAACAATATAATATTTTTTCAGGAGAAACTATTTGCAGGAGAAATAAAATGTCTACATGTTCTCTGTTTCAGGTTTCCGCACTGGTGGCATTTACCTTTTACAGATCTTGAACACAAAAGAATGAAAGACTTAAATCTCTATGTGAAGCAGTTATTGAATGGATCCAGCAGCCTGTCTAATGTACGTGATCATTTTCCATATAATAGCTTATATTGTTTTTAGCAGCTTTCTGCCAAACAAATCCCAAAGCTGTCTACAGCCTATATAAAATGACAACTCCAGACAGTGCTACACCCATTTCTGAGGCGGAACAATTATATAATTTAACAGGACTAACCACCCACAGACAACAAAGCGATTGAAAAATAATTGATTAGAGCTGGCTGGGAATTTTTTGACAGAATATGTTTTCCATCAGAAATGGTGATTCAGGGAAACCAAATCTTTTTGGATTAGTTGCAACAATTTCCTAATTTCAGAATTATTTTGGGGGGGAAAAAAGTTTTGAAATTGTGAAAACATCCCATTTCAACATTTTCTAAACAAAAGGTTCTGGTTTTTGGTTCAAAATGACTTTACATTTAGAAATGTAAGTTAATAGTAAAAAACAAAAAAGAATGTTAAAGGTCAAAATCAAAACAGAATGTTTCAAAACTATCAAAATGAAACACTGAAATTACCTAACAGAAATATTTTTCTGATTTTAGGGTCATAAAAATTTTGAGATTTTGACTTTTCATCTGATTTGGAATGGACAATTTTTTAAATCTTGAAAATTTTTGCTGGACAGGAAAACTCACCCAGCACAATAATTTATGCAGCTGTGCCCACACAGTAGAAATGTAAGAGGAAAGGGAAGTTAGCCAGGTGAAATAACAATCAGAGCTTGTTTTCTTTTTAATAATAATGCATAATCCTAGATTGGAGATCAGCAGTAGATAGGAACTGTCAGTAGGTTTCCAAAGATAGCCAGCATCCACATGATAAAGCAACACTCAGGCTTGGAGAGGAGACTTCAGACTCCAGGTCAGTTCAGTCCTTGGCCTCTCTACTGAGATTGCCAGTAAAAATTCAGAGTTTTGGGGTTAGATTTTATGTGATGTATAGACCCTGCCCTACAATGCAATGGGACTAAGACCACCAGTTTTTCACATGAGCTCTTTTTGGTCATTAGTGATCTTAGGATGTTTCAGGCTAGTGTCTTAGAAGTGAAAGTCTCTGTGTCTTAATTGTGCTCTAGGCCTACCTCAGGGAGACTGGCTTTCAATTTGGGCCAGGCACTACAGTGCAAAAACTATAACATGGTCTACACTAGGGAAATTAAACTGGTAGAAGCCACTTGAATATTTGCACAGACGATCTGTACCTGCCAATAGCGGGGGTGAGGGGGGAACGGGCAGAGTTAGGGCAGTGGCTTCAGCCGATGTTAGTGAGCATGCGTAGTACAAGCCAAGCAGCTGCATGCCCTCCCATACACACACATTGCCTCTGAATATTTGTAAAATCCTTTGTGTCCGCACACAACCCCCCCCCCCCCAGAAATGGTCTAATAGCCAGTTAGAACACATTGCCGCTCATCTTGTTTAATAATTCATCTAATCCTCCCATTACCATCCCACAGAGCACTAGTGGCCTTGAGTCAGCTCCCAGAATGCACTGCTGCTGGGAGCTGAGTGGGAATTGCAGGGTAGGTACCCAGAGAACACTGTAAATTAAACTGTTTAGAACAGTGCTCTTGTGGATAGAGGGCAAAACTTAAACCGCACAAACATGGTTAGTGTGGATGCACAATTTACCAGTTACCAGTGGTTCAGCTGATACATAGAGTTCAGTTCAAGTGCAGACAAGAACTGTGAGCCAAGGAGATGAGAGTTTAGGGACAACTATTAAAATGACAGAGAAACTAATCTTTAACAGTAGAATATGTGCTGTAGTTAATGGAGTACAAGACTCAGTGGGCCATATTAATGGAAGGAATAATAGGTGGATAGTTTTCATCTGTAAAATGTTACTGTATATTATCTTCCTACCCATTATGTATCTAACCAGTAATTCTAGTGATCATCTTTATATAGTCACTGGTGTTCCAAAACCACTGAATTGTGATGTTTTACTTTAATGTAGCTCTCTTGCCAGGGGATGTTAGATATTCTGAACATACTAACATATTTAGATCAAGGAGACTGGTTCAGTGGGTAATTTTCTTTATATTAATGGCTGAGAGATCCATGTTTTTTAAATAGTATCAACTTTCCCTTTCCTCATAGTGGATGTTTGGTTAAGTTCGAAGCAGAAAGTATTTGTTACAATCATTTTTTATCAAGAAAATCTCCTATTTATTTGCTTCTGTCTGTCTTCTCATCTCAGACAACTTTCCAGTCAAATCTGTCCTTTTTTTCATGCGACTAGAAAGCCTAGTCTAAGCCAAATCTAATGATAGTTCTCTGTTCAAGAGTTACTTGTATTTTTACTATGCATTAGTAAAAATGTGTAGTAATAAATAATTAAGGAGTTTGTGAAGAATAAATGTTTGGTGTGCCTTGAAAGTGCAGATGCCTATAGAATGAAACTCTTTGTCTTTTACATCTATTGACTGGACAATTTTTGTCCTACTGAATTGTGTTTTAGCCAGGTTGAGACCTAGGGCGTGGGCTCAGGCTGTGGAGACCCAAAAAGTGGAAGAGATTTTAATTATAAATACCTCTGTCTACCATTTCTAAACTGATTAACTTGATTGCCTAGACATAAATTGTCACCTTGTGCAACTGTGAAAACTCTTGTTCTGCTTTTGCAGGAGGTACTGCAAACTCAGACTTATCATTATGTAACTAAAAAATCTAGAATTAAAGAGAATTGGACTACACTCAGCTTTCTCACTGACTCATGTGAGTGCATACTTTTCAGACCAAACTAAGTGCCTATTACTGAAACAGTGTTATGTTTAAGACTGGCCTTTTCTGTTAAATGATTTAACATGGCAGGGGGAGGGAATATACAGTATATTCACATACTGTGACAGGGTCTATAAACCCCACACTAGACTTGAAGGGGTTAAGGAGCAGTTCTTGGCCCAGGTGACAGAACTCCCCTACACCTGCAGAGCCTGATCCGACTGGAAGAGGAGTTTAAAAGGGAACCAGACAGTTCAGATGGGAGGGCGAACATACCTACCCTGAGAGCTCCTGAACAAGGGTGCCACAGAAGGCCTCACTGCAAGGAAGGGGTTAGCATCTGAGCGCAGCTGGGCTGAAGGTTCAAATTTTTGTTTGTTTTGTGTTGTTTTGCTGTCTTATGTTAGAGTTTGAGCGTTTGGGGAGAGGTGAATGGTAGGAAATGACCCAGGGAGGCCGCCTCAAGGCGCTCTAGGGCACTTGATATTGTTGTCTCTCATAGGACCCTGGGCTGGAGCCGGGTGGAGTGAGGGGGCCTGGGCTTCCCTACCAAGCACGCTTGTTGAAGAAGGGCATAAACCTCCCTTCCACCCCTCCTCTCCAAATTAAGGAGAGGACAGAGGTGCTGAGAGCCTTGGGGAGAGGATAAGCCACCTTCAGGAGTCCCCAGCTGGGCTGAAGACCCTTGGGACTCTATATAATTTCCCTACACGTCCTTCCTCTGTATTGTAATTTTGCACCAATTATATCCTGGTTGGTTGGTTAGTTGCATATACTGGGGCAATAACCATGGATAAACATGAGAACATGTTCAGAAATATTTGGACTCGTGCAGTTTTGCCTTATTAAATGACAGCAGCCAAGTGATGTCTTATTGTGGGAGAGCAATCCAGAAACTAGTTGAAACATCAAGACACAATAAACTGAAGGTTTGAAACATGGGAACAACAAAATTACACATTATCTCAGTGTAAATCAAATCTATGACATTCACAGACAGCCCTTTTTTTTCATGCCCGCTGCTAACTCTAGCTGAGTGATGGGCTAAATGGAGGTTGCAGGTCCATAACAACCCAAAAGCCATAATATATAAAATAAATTAGGGCTGTCACAGTGGCTCATCGTTTTAATGCCATGCTGTAGGAGACTGTCCACTCCCTAAGGAGTCAAAACCAAATTAAGGGACCATTAATTGAGTCAGCTCTTGGGTCCTGTGTCAAGCAGCAACATGTCAGTTGTTGACTAAGGTGATTTTTTTCTGCGTAGTTTGAAGGGAGAAGTTGCAGCTGTCCCTGGCCTACAAAAAGCCTAACTTCAATTATGGAACTGAATATAAAGTAATGTTAATTTATCAGTCCTCAATATTTTGTATAAATAGGAAACTAGCAATCTATGTACCTGAGTGTGTGTGGGGGTTTGCTGTTTATAATTCATAAACTTACTATGCTGGGCATGGATTATTTTCTCATCTCTTCTTGTTTAAAAAATATGTGGTGTTTATTTTGGTTTCCATATATTGGATTTACAGTGTGCTCATGCAGCTCACAGATTTTAGATTTCAGTTCCTATCCTGCCAAAATGTATGTGTTTAATTAAACATACCTGATTTGTCCCATTGAGTTCATGCAGAAAGGTTTTTGGTTTGTTTTGGGGGGCAGATGGGTTGGGTTTTCGAAAATTTCATAGAAAGCTCAATTAGCAAAACTACACTACCTTAGCTGTGGGGAAGGTGAAGTTTGTTTGTTTGTTTGTTTTCCTGTGTGCAATTGTTTTTACTTATCCACAAGATACTTCTAAAAACATTGGGCCAAATTCAGTATTAGTGTAAGCACCTAAAAGTCCATTGATTTCATTGAAACTGTACTGCTAATATCAGATGTGATTCTAGCACATTGAAACATACAGGGCCTGATTTTCACTTCTACTGAAGTCTTTTTACACCACTCTGGTAATGTAAAGATGCTTTCCAGTGGGTGTCAATTGAAATGGCTGTAAATTACATAAGTCCCCACTTTAAAACCTTACTATAAATGAGAAACAGGCCGATAATTTTGCACCTTTTGCTAGTCTAACTAATGCTTTGCAATATCAAAGTAATTAAGATTGAAAAGGGACATACCTGTATTTTTAATGATTTTCACATCTTTCTTTTACTTGAGCAAAGAAATCCCTCATAACTATAGCAGAAGGTTATATAACCTCCAGGGCCAAATTCTCCCCTCATGTAGATAGTGGCGTAAATCCAAAATAACCCAGTGATGTCACTGGAGCTACTCTGGGTTTACCAATGCAAGTGAAATCAGAAAATGGCTCCAGCGTTCATTTCATGGGGTCTCGCTAATGTGATGGAAATAATGAGGGTCTGAAGTGTGTGGCTCCCTTGAATTGTCACTTTTCATGTACACACTGCAATCAAGCAGAGCCAAAATAGATAGGGCTCAAAGTCTCCTATCTTCCCCTATCATTTCCTGAAGATGTCATAGCTGCAGCAGGGTCAGCTTTTTCTGATTTATTTCTTTCCTGCTGCTTCTCTGGCCTGTTGAACTATAACAGAATCATGGGAGTTCTCTGACTCCAGACCTACTCTAACACGAGTAGAGAAGATAGGCAGACAGCTGAAAAAACAGATCAGGTTGATTCTTTTTCTACTGGAATTATTGCTGGCTAGAAATCTGACTATGATTAATTTATTTGCCCAAGTATTAAGATAATTTTTGCTTAGGCTCCTGTAGAGGTGCCTGGCCAAAGTCTACTCTGTTACACCAGTGTAAGTCCAGAATATATACACTAAAGTCAGTAGAATTAGGAGTTCTAGATTTATACCAGCGTATCTGAGAGCAGAAATTTCGTCCTTTCAGTTTTAACAGCTGAGCATATTGATGAATTCTGAACAGAGACACACCCACAGCTCAGGTACATAGATTTCCCTAATAGAATATTCGACTTTTTCATTCAACCGGGTGAACATCAACCATTAAACGTTACAGATTATATTTTTATTAGATAAAAATAAGACCAATGATGGGAGATTTGCCTGAAATTCCTAGTACAGGCATTGTTTTAAGGGACTTAAACTAAACTTACTGACCTGGGGAGAACATTTCTCTCTGTGAAAGAGTAGTTGAGTGTTCCTGGTCAATTCACTCCTTGGCTTATATTGAAATTGACAACACAGGGGTCAGTTACTCATGATGATGTGTCTTTGTAACATGAATACCTGGAAATGTACTGAGGCCACCAAAACCATTTGAACAACACCAAACACTTCTGATCACTAGCAGTTAATCTTTAATGGAATGCAGGCGCTCAACCATTTACAAAACATACTATATGTGTTCATTTAACATGTGCTGTCTCAGGCTCTAATACATCAGTCTGTCCCTGTTCAGCAAAGCATTTAAGCACATGCTTAAGTCCCATTGACATTGACTGCAATTGGACTTAAGCACAAGCCTAAAGTTAAGCATGTATTTGTGTCTTGCTGAATAGGGATGAACCTAAACGTGTGTTTAAATTATTTGGTGAAATGGAGACTTAATGAGCGTGTCCTGTACTATGCAGATGTACTCCCAGTACTTAAGATCCCAGCCTCCACTCAGTTTGCCGAGCAGTTGCGGTCTCTCAAGCAGTTATGGGCTGGATGCCTATTACAACAAATACTTTGGAGATCTTTTCCTTGGCCTTGGCAGCGTTTTCACGTGCCCTATGTGGACTGCCCAATCTGCTCTTTGGTCCTGGGCTGTCAGAGGCCCTTTTTTTTCCTTTTCACTTGTCAACACTAACCTTTCTTGTCTTCCTATTTGTGTTGTTACCATGCTGGGTACATCATTGTTCTCTCTCTCTCTCTCTCTCTCTCTCTCTCTCTCTCTCACACACACACACACACACACAGCAAAATTCATGCCTTGAAATCAATAATGAGGCAAATTCATGCCTTGAAACGAATAATGAGGCACCAGGGATGAACAGTGCCCTTTATGTTTATGCCTGTCATGGGATTTTGCACCATTTGCCATGTGCTCTTAAATGATGCTGCAGGTACTAGTGAAAATGAGAATTTGCAATTATGGTAACCTGAAATAACCCTCTGCTCTTCCCACTCAGTACTCTCCCTGTGTCACCAATATAAATCTACCCATCTAGTGTTGAAAGAGAAAGCAAGAGGAAGTAGAAAGACAGAACACTCAGTAAAGAATTTTTATTTCCCTTTCAAATGTGTTAACATACGGTATTCTTCCTTCTGCCTCCTCATACCTGTCCTCTCGAGTTTGTGAAGGTGGGATGACTACTTACATTTATCTGCTTTCTTTTCATACTGTTAAATAAGGAATAAATAAACTGCCAAAAATATACTTCTTCAAACGCTGAGTCTCCCTACACCTGCCTGTAGACACTTATGCTGAAAAAGCAAATAAGGGTCCCACAGGGAATAACCCTATTGTTTAATAAAAGTTCAAGATGACACTACTACCTGAAGCAGTGTATGTGTTCACATGTGAGATATCCCCAGAAGATGAAAGTTACCTTGTGCTTGTCAACACTCGGCATTATCTGGAGTACTGGCATTTTCTTGCTAATCACGTCTTCTCCTATTTGAATCAAGGAAAAATGACATTTTTAAAAGCATTTTGGAGATTTTATTTTTCAAACAGCAAAATAAAAAGCAAAAACAAATGTCAAAATAAATCCAAATTGTTAAATCATATCTGAATGCTGAGCATATGTTCCTTGTTCTTCTGTCTGCTAATCCCAGATGTTAATTGCTCTAGGAGCTACATTTGTCATTAAGCTCTTCTTTTTTCTGTTTTTGTCTCTTGCTGCATTTTGTCAAACTGAAGCAGGACATGCTGTTGATCAGAGACATCTTATTTCTCTTAGCCCTGTAAAATGCTGGTGACATTTGAATGCTGGAATCTGAAAAGGCTCTTGTGCAGCATCCAGTTTGTTATAGTGTCAATCCTGGTAACACTAATATAAACATGGCTAGTCTAACCACATTAAAGCATGGACAATCTGACATGCTGCTTTATGAAAAAGCTAATAAAATGCAATTACTGTCCAGCTTTGATTCAGAACTCTTATAAGTGTTCATTTTGAAATTCACATTTTTATTGCACTGCACAATATTTGAGACCAGGGGATTTGGTTTATTGCTTTTCTGGTCTAAAACTGAATTCAACTACCTTTTACATCTGTTTACTAGAGCACTGTGGGTCAGTTAACACAAATAAAATCTGTAATCCAGCACAAGAGGTGAGGCCTCTTTAAACAATGTGGTGAAAAATGATCGTCTTCTTCCAATTTGCACGTCTGACCTCTGTCAGGAAGTTAACTCTTTATTAGCCTTGTTACAATGAGAGGGTACAGAGAGCCAACAGAAGACATTTGCACCACTTAAGTTATGTGGTGCCACAGGCCTTACACTGGTCCAGTGCATGGGGTGAATTTCACCCTGTGTGCAGGGGACCAATGCAAGACCTTCTGCACCACTTCCTCTCTATACAGGGGGTGGTGATGAAATTTTTTGCAGCATATTAACCAGCTAGAAACACTAATCTGAGACCACGTTTTGGCCTTGGTGTTGTGAGGCATGCTGATGGGAAGAAGCAAAGACGTAGTGTCCCTGAGTCATCCAGCTAGTACAGGGCAGGATGGCTCATGGGGCCAAGGTGCAACTCCCTCAGGTGTGCTTCTTTCCTGCTGCCCCAAAAAGGGGGAGCATGCACCCTTGTTAGTGCCTACTGTCAAACCCAGTTTTTACACAGATGGCCGGGGCTGTGATTACACCCCACTCAGGGATGCAAATGTGCATCTGGATTCATAGAGCAACATCCAAGGGAGTACTAGGGCCCTATCCTGCCGTGCGGCCCTGCAGTGGGAGGGAAGAGGCTCCCCTTTCCTGCTTATTCCTCTAGTGCATGTGCAAGAGACAAACCAGCCCTTCAAGGCCAGTGTTGGAAAATGGAGCACCTCCCCCACCCATTCACAGCATGTAATATTTCTGTTGGTTTTTTAATTTGATTTCAGAATGAGCATGTCCTCAGCTTTTTCCTCGATGGGTCCAAAACCGACTGGCCGGAAGAATCTGTACTTGTTAGCCTAGGTATGTAAATTATTCATTTTGATCACTTTAAGAAGGAATTGGTGACACTGAATACTGCAATGCAGAGGTGGGTCTATCCGAACCCACTGGTAAACGTGTTTTTTGTTTGTAAATGTGAGTATAATAACCAGTAAGTAATTCAGTTCACTTTTTATTTCCCGACTCGTAAAAGTTCATACACATATTTTTTTAATACAATCTGCAGCCCCAATTGGCTTTGACGTCCCCTCCTCCACCAGTAGTATTATTTCTAGCTATATTTACGTCATAATTAAAGCAAATATATATTTACACTTGAAACAAACTAGGCCAGGAACCTTTTTTTCTTAAAACCCCTCTTCATATAACAGTCTTAAGAAGGAGAATTTGAAGCATGACAAAGTATCATGCATGTGTTGAGACAGGGGAAGAATAAGTATGCTAGCGATGACCTGTCAATAAGGGTATTTCACAATGAGCGGGGCATGTAAATAACAGAACATGTGGTTAATCTTGCCTACGTATGCATTATTACTTATAGAAATAGCACTGCTATATACTGCTCCTCTGTAATTAATAATACTCTGCACATTGTTTCTTTAACATGTCTAAATTCCTAACCACCTCCCTCTTCTGTCCTGAAGCCGCACCAATGAGCTATCTTCTTGGCTTTGTTGTTACCTAATGCTGACTCTTAGCTCATCTTCTGCAGTCAACTTGGGGGGTGGGGGAAATAAAAGCTAATGCTGAAGGCCACAGTTCTACTCTGCTTGCACCAAAACAGGTCAGCCATTTGCTGTATATTCCAAGTGATAAGAAAGCTCCAGGATACCCAGCAATCCACATTTCATAACTGAGTGGCTGCTAATAATACCACACCCCTTCCATGTCCAATGTGCTTGTTCCTCTTCTTTACAGACTGAGGCTCTGCTCCTTGGCTATACCACTCTAGTGACACAAAGCAATTCTAATTCTGGTTTAACCAGCCACTGGAGCATTCCCCTTGTGTAGGGAGATCCTGTGGTGGTGTAGAATTGCTATAGTGGCTCCTACTACCCCTCTCCCTGCAGCACAAGAGCCGTGGCCAAGCCATCTCTATGCCCCATCAATTCCCTTAGGGCCATTGGAAACTGGTAATGTTTGCTCTGATGATACCCACATGGCCCAGGATTGGGAGGATGCAGAGCACTGACAAGAGAAGAGTTTTGTTGCAAAAATTCAAGCCAGAGCTTTAATACAGCTTGTAGCCTGGGTTCATGGGCTATGTTCTATATCTCTCTCTGACTTCTTTTACTGTAATATCTGAGTACCTCGCAGTCTTAAATGTATTTCTCTTCCACACCCCTGAGAGATCAGGAACTACTGTTACCCCCCTTTTACAGATGGGGGACTGAGACACTGATGTCACATGATGAGTCTGTGGAAGAGCAGGGAATTGAACCCAGTGGACCATCCATATAACCATTATGTAGCCAATGGTACACGGGTTAAAAAAGAAAACCTTTCACTCTGTGAACTGGACCAGCATTTATTTTCCGAGTATTTAGTGAGCTACCAAGCTATCATATCTATAACCCAACCTGTTGGTTAACTCTTTACATTTTTATGGTGATGTGGGGGCCACATAAGACTAGCCAGAGGGAGGGGGATACAGCAGATGTACAAGTTAAGATCCATAGGCCTTTAATAATCGGAGATAGGGGTGTAGGGAGCCATTTGCCTGCAGGGGAACTTGGCTTTCAAAAGTTTGGGAAATGATGCTTTAAATAAGCAAGGAATCTGTGTCTTACAGGAATATTCATCTCCAGTTACCCTAGAAAACAGAGAACATTGTAATTGTTAAAGATTTTGAGAGTAAGACACTCACATAGATTTTGCAGATTGGAGTAGATAATGCTCTTTCTCTTTGTTCTAATGTCCAAATCCCGAGGTCTTTACTTGGCTATGGAGGGGAATTTCCCCCTGCTTGCACATTATTATTTGTTGTTTGTATCTCAGTAGCAGTCATAGATCAGGGCTCCATTATGCTTGGCATTGTACCAGCACAGAACACAAAGAAGGCCCTAAATTGCATACAGAGTAGCCACCTGCAGAGCACTGTTCCCTCAACTTCCTTTGGAAAATGGGAAGTGGTGTTTGTGGGTCTAGGAGCCCCCTGTCAGCCCCCTTCAACTCTATAGGAGTCGAAGGGGGCTGGCAGTTCCTGAAAGATGTAATACTAGAGGCTCAACATGATGCTATTCCAATGCAGAGGAAAGCTAAGACGAGCCACGGGAGACCAATGTGGCTGCACAAGGAGCTTTTTAGCTATCTAAAACCCTAAAGGGATACATACAGAAAATGGAAGGACGTGCATGTCAGTAAGGATGTATACATGGGAATAGCACAAGTATGTAGGGACAAAGTCAGGAAAGCCAAGGCAAGGAATGAGTTACAACTGGAAAGAAGTGTTAGAGACAACAAGCAGGGGTTCTACAAATATGTCAGGCAAAAATGAAAGATCAGGGATGGTGTGTGCCCACTGCTCGGTGGAGAAGGTGAGCCGGTAACGGAAGATGATAAGAAGGCGGAACTTCTCACTGCCTACTTTGCTTCACTCTTCATACAAAAAATAACGTGACCCCATGAGTAGAGAAGTTGTTATAGAAAATAAAGGGAAATAAATGCAGATCAGGACAAGTAAAGAATACAGCAGAGTTCTTCTGACTAATTTGAATGAATTCAAGTCAGCAGGGCCTGTTGCCATTTACCCGAGGGTTCTGAAGAAATCTCAGAGCCACTGAGATTTGCAAGCTTATGGATGATAGGAGAGGTACTAAAAGACTGGAGAAGGGCTAATGTAGTGCCCATCTTTAAAAGGGGGGAAAGGAGGAGCTGGGGAACTATATGCCAGTCAGTTTGACCTTGATACCTGGGAAGCTATTAGAGCAATGTATAAAACATTCCATTTGCAAATACCTGGAGGATGAAGGGGTGATTACTGACAGCCAGCATGGATTTCCCAAGAACAGATCATGCCAAACCAGCTTGATTTCCTTCTTTGACACGGTAACTGGTTTGGTGAATAGGGGGAATGCAGTGGACATAATATACTTGGATTTTAGCAAGACTTTAGACACAGTTCCACATGACCTTCTCATAAGTAAGCTGGAGAAATACAGGCTCGGTAGAACTATCATTAAGTGGATGCATAATTGGTTAAACAACTGGAAACAAAGAGTAGCTATTAATGGAAGGATGACAGATTGGAAGGAGGTCTCAAGTGGGGTTCCACAGGGATCTCTTCTGGGTCTTGTGTTATTTAACATCTTTAATCATGACCTGGATGTAGGAATAAAGAGCATGCTAATCAAATTTGCAGGTGACACAAATCTAGGGAGGATTGCAAATACTTTGGAGGATAGAATTAAAATTCAAAGGGCTCTTGATAAATTGGAGAAACTGGGCTATAGACAACAAAATGAAATTCAACAAAGACAAATGTAAGGTGCTACATTTAAGGGAGAAAAACCAAACACACAAATACAGAATGGGGGATGAGTGGCTTGGCAGCAGCACTGCTGAGAAGGATCTGAGAGTTGTAGTGGATCACAACCTCAACATGAGTCAACGATACAATGCTGTTGCAAATAAAGCAAATGTAATTTTGAGTTCCATTAAGAGAGGAATAGTATGCAAGTCACAGGAGGTGATAGTACTGATCTACTCAGTGCTGGTTAAGCCTCAGCTGGAGTACTGTGTCCAATTTTGGTCACCGCTGTATAAAAAGGATACAGAGAAACTGGAAAGGATCCAGAGATGAGTGACTAAAATCATCAAAGAGATGGAATGTAAGCTATATGAGCAAAGGCTGAAGGAACTGTGTATGTTTAGTTTGGAAAAAAGATATGATTGTGGTCTTCAAATACTTGAAGGCTGCCATATGAAAGATAGAGAAAAATTGTTCTCTCTTGCCACAGAGGGCAGGACAAAAGGCAATGGGTTCAAACGACAGCATAGCAGATTTAGATTAAATATCAAGAAAAACTTCCTAACTGTAAGAACAGTAGTACAATTGAACAAACTTCCTGTGGAAGTCATGGAATCTCCTTCACTGGAGGTTTCAAAAGGAGGCTGGATAGCTACAACAAATCCTGCATCTTGGCAGGGGGGTAGACTAGATAACCCTGGTGGTCGCCAGGGCCGGCTCTGGCTTTTTTGCCGCCCTAGGCAAAAAAGCCTCCAGCCGCCCCCCCCCC